AAAACAAAACAAAAAACAAAAAAACCAAAACAAAACAAAACAAAAAACTAATGAAGTTACAGGCACCAACTCTATGCCACATACTAGTTTCATACCAAACAAGTGTGCAATTTCTTAGAGTGGATTAACTGGTTTATAGTTCACACAGCAGCAGTTGTGACCCAGTGCAACTGAAGACTATGGCCAGACACGAGAAACAACATAAACAAAGCAGGAACTTAACAAAAAACCAAAACAAAACAAAACAAAAAACTAATGAAGTTACAGGCACCAACTCTTTAAGATGCTTCTTATCTTGGCTTCTCATTTCTATTAAAAGATATTTTTGAGGAATCATAATAATTCAGATGTTTTTCCATTTATGGTGAGTTCAAAAAGTCCTTCTGAGCTTCCCTTCAATATCCCTTTTCTCCCTGGACCATCAGCTATCCCCGTATCTCATAATATAAACAAAGCAGGAACTTAAGTCAAAGCTCTATTGAACACTCTACATCATTTTGTTTGTGTTGGTTCCTCGAGGACCTGACACTTAATGTGCCACAGAAGTTCATATTCAAATAGGAAACTTTTTTTTTTGAGTCTTAATTTTCTGAACTTTGAAAGTATCTCTAAGGATTAACAACATAAACCAGTAGTTGTAAAAGAAATCAGCTATAAGGCAGGCATGCTGAAACAGGCTAAGACATTTCACATGTAAGGGCATTGTTTTAGTTGGTTCTGAAGAATGACTAAGATAAACACCAGCCTGAGACCACTTCTATGAAGCAAATGAAGTGTGCTTTCTATCAAGTGAAGCTGTGCTGACTGCACAAGACAGCCCAATAGAGAATAGTGTCATTCGCCAGGAAATATGACAACAGAGAATCATAGATGGCAAAGGACCAGACACGATTCAGCGACAGGGCCATATGCAAATTGAATGGTGGGACAAAGACTCATTCCAGTTGAATGCCCTTGAAGAAACAGCAGCATCACCTTTTTAGAAGTGATCACAGATCACAGATCCATCACTGTACACCTGACTGTGCTGTGCCGTGAGCTGAAGCCTCTGTCATGTTTTGAAAAGTACTGTACTAAAATTTACAGTGATGGGCTGAGCAAAAGCAGTTAAACTTACTCTACTTTGGTATCAACAATGTTTATAAAACCAGAGAACTAAACATCCAGGGAGCTAATCGGGTAAGCACTACCCAGCTGATTAATATCTGATCAAGCTGATTGCAAAATGACCCTGGTAAATCAGTTAACCTTAGCGGAGTCACTTCCCTCTTGGCCTCAGTGCCCTTATCTCCTAAAGGAACAGGCAGCAAGAAGAGGACAAGCATGTTTATTTATACAATTTCACTCTGGTATTTGATACACAGGACATCACTCTTTTTCTTTCTTTTTTTTGGGGGGGGGCGGGGGTGGAGGTGCAGTCTTTGAAAAGCCCTGGCTATTCTGGAACTCTATGAAGTTCAGTTTGGCCTAAAACTCATAGAGATCCACCTGCCTCTGCCTCCCGAATGCTAGGATTAAAGGCGTGCGCCGCTATGCCTGGCTGATACTTTGTTCTTGATATTGTGTAGTGCTACACACTATACGCTCAGTGTAATGTGCACTGTGTTGTAATGAGTGTCATGAGAACACCTGATTACCTGGGTGTCGACCCACTTTGTCCCAGTCTGGGTGTGCTCTACTCTTCCGTAGAAGTGCACAGGCAGCATGAACTCAGGGCGAGCCTTTTCCCAAGGGTTCCCATGCCGGAGCCAGTCATCTGCCTCTTCTACCTGGAAATGGACATGGCTTAGAGTTCACTGTTCATGAGACATGGCTGTAGCCCTTCAATTATATCACAACACAAATATCTTGCAGAAACTCAAGAGTTCAGCTTTGGAAAGACAGTACACTGGGTCTTCCAACCTAGTTTCATCTTTGTTACTGTCTTACCTCCTAAGACAATGACAATGCTCACGTGACAATCACATGTGTTTTATGTGTATTATTGTATCTAAGTCTCACAGCAACCCTTGAGGAAGAAACCATCATTTCCATCTTTTCAGAGATGAGGAAATATAACAGCTTGAGGTCACACGGAAGGAAGACGATAGAGTAAGATACACCCCCCTTCAGTGATTCAGAGGCCATGTCTTCACATCAGGGGAGATGTTCTAGGAAGGCTAACCACTGAGCTTCTGGACCTCATGGTCCAACATGAAGTTTCTAGTCAAGATTCTGGTGCCTGCAATGTATAAAATGAGCTAGGAAATGCTTCTTAGAGACCACTCTCTTACCAAAGTTCATTTCAACACAAGTACAGAAAATTTCATAGTCCTTGCTCACCTTAATCCCTACGGTCTAACTTGGTAACAAGCTACACATTATGATTCATTTTGAAGATGCCCTATACTAAAAAGTAAGGAACTAATTTTATTGACAATTTCAACTTTCCATAGGGATTTATGTAACAAACTGTTCCTTACAAAAAATTTAAAACCAGAGTTCCTATGTAGGGTGTTCAGGACATCAAACTAGTTTTGGTTTGTATACTCAATCAAGAAGACTAAAATAATAACACCACTGTATCAAGGGATGTAGTTTAATTAATTAAGCACACACTATACATCATTTGTGAAGTTTTCCAGTTGCTAAGAAGCTTGCGGGTAAAGCATTTGCTGGGCAAACTTGAGAACCTTGGTTCAAATCCCCAGCACCCATGTACAAGCCAGACATGGGGTGAGCATCTGTAACCCCAGCACTGTGGGAGCGGGGTGGAGACAATGGATCCAGGATTGCCTGGCTATTTAGCCAAACTAGCCAAATCACTGAGCTCCAGATTCACTGAGACCCTGTTTTCAAAAAATAAGGTCAATCGGAAGGTGGTGTACACCTTTAATTCCAGGTGAATCTGTGAGTTTGGGGACAGCCTGGTCTACAGAGTGAGTTCCAGGACAGCCAGAGCTACACAGAGAAAGCCTGTCTGGAAGTGGTCCCCTCTCAAAAAAAAAAAAAAAAAAAAAAAGAAGGTCGAGAGGGATGCAGGAAGACATGTCACCTCTGGCCTTCACATGCATACACACAAATACAGACGCAGAATAAATGCATGGTGGATGGGTGGGTACATGGATAGCCTGGTCAACGTGAACAGGGTGTTTCCCTTTCTGCACTTGGTGCTACTATTGAACAATGCAGAAGGGACTTCTAGAGGAAGACGTGGCAGTAATGACTTTCCAATAGAAAGTCACGAGCTTAGGAGAATGGATGCCATGTTTCTGCCGACAGGTGTCTCCATCATAGGCTCTTCTGTCTTCAAGAAGCAGAAATGCCCGGGGACAGTATGGCACCTCATACCTGTTCCTGTCCAACTGAGTGGCCTTTGCTCTTGCGAGGATATACTCTCAAGTGACAAAGAACTAGTCAGCTGACCACGCCATTACATGTTGGTTTCATTTGTCTCACCTCAAAATGGCTGTTTTGCTTCCCATGGTTAACAGTTTTTGTAAGAAGCCATGTTTGTTTGCTGACTTCAGTCAGAGTCCCTCGCTCAATGAGAAAGGAATCAGTGAACAGCGCTTTCAGTTTTCCCAGGCTGGCTTCTAAGGTGGATTGAAAGGATTTCACAGTCACTGGCTCATCACAGCAGATCTGAGGAGGATCCACAGGTGCTATGGGAAGGGCAAAACTCTTCTTGACTTTGATTTCCTTCTGTGGATTAGACTTTCAAGTGGATTGAAAGGATTTCACAGTCACTGGCTCATCACAGCAGATCCGAGGAGGATCCACAGGTGCTATGGTTAGGGCAAAACTCTTCTTGACTTTGATTTCCTTCTGTGGATTAGACTTTCATGTAGCCGCAGGGATCTCTGGGAGCACTAATCGCTGAGGGATATGAGCATGTGGAGCAGGTGGGAGATGAGCTTTGACTCTTACATCTAAGTAGGTTTCAGGACTGGTCTATCCCAGAGGCTCCAGGGGCTGGGCTACTGATTCACAGCAACCGGGGCTCCTGAGAGCCAAAGAGCTGGCTCTGAGCCTGGGTCTGTCCCTGGAGGAATGACTCTGCAATCAAGTGGAGCCGGCAGCGAAGCAGAGGTCAGCTCTGGCTACACTACACTGGCGGCAGGGTTCCAAAAACCACTTTCTCCTTCAAATTCGGGGCACGGAGGATGAACTCACGAACAAATGCCAAGAGTCATTGCTTCTTGAGAGCATACATAATTGAAAGACCTTTCTGGGGAACTGCAGTAATTCAGTAAGAGTGACTGGAGGCTCGCTGGGCAGAGAAAACCAGGAGACTGGCTCTAGCAGGCTCCGCACAGGTTCTAAGCCGAGACTGAAGGGGCCCAGCAGTCAGTCATTCCTGGGAGAGCCTTTGCTTGCTACCTGCTAGCCTTCTAAGACAGGCTGCTTAATGGCATTCCCCTTGTCCTCCCGACAGCCAAGTATTTTCATGGGGACTGTCACAGATCAGGTTCCCATTAGAGTGTGTGGCAAGCTCAGAATTTTACCCATATAATTATTTCCCTCAGAAGTGCAGTCACCACGTTTTACTGCAAATGCTCTTTGAATAGACCCAAAGTTAAAAGTTCATCAGCCTTTAAAATCTTCGCAGCTGGTGACTTCTCATCAGCATGTCTGTATCTGCTGTTGGGGGAGCAGGGGTGCAGGGGAGCAGGGTGCAAGTGAGCAGGGGTACAGGGGAGCAGGGGTATAGGTAAGCATGGGACAGGGGTGCAGGTAAACAAGGGTGCAGGTTAGCAGGGTGAAGGGGTGCAGGTGAGCAGGGGTGCAGGGATACAGGGGAGAAGGGATGCAAGGGTGCAGGGGAGCAGGGAACAGGGGAGCAGGGGAGCAGGGGTGTAGGGATCAGGGAATCAGGTGAGAAAGGGTGCAATGGAGCAGGGTGCAGGAGTGAGACCATAGCCTAGTCAGAAGGATTGCAAGCTTCCTAGCATATGCCTTTTGTTTCTAGTGGAAACGGTTTCTTTTTATGATGTGACATATACATTTGCCCTTTACAATCCCATCTTGAGAAATAATGTAGGTGGTGAGAACTATACATCCTTCTGATTCCACTTTTTAAGACATAATTAAAGAAGTGATGTCTAATAGGCTAATTTTGGAATTAGCAGAAGCTATTGGTCTCTTTCTTTCCCTCCCTCTCCTACCCTCCTCTCCAGCTCTCCTCCTAACCAACCTCCCTGGACAGGGTCTCAGATTCTGCAGGCTAGCCACTAACTCAGTAAGTAGTGGAGGATGATCTTTACTCAGTCCTCTGGCTTACGCCTCCCCAGTGTTGGCATTATAAGTGTGCACTGACACCATCTGGCTTATTCGGTGCTGGAGGCGGTGGGCCAAATCCAGGGCTCCACTAATGGTGGACAAGCATGCTACCAATGAAGCTATATCTATAGCCCCAGATTTGATTTTTAAATTTAGAATGCTGTAAACATATGCCTCCTTGAACTATAAGATTAAGAATGAATTGAAGGGGGGAAATGTTGGGTTTCTTTAGAATCTTTCATACAATAGTAGTTAAAAAACTAAGACGTGAGGGCTGGAGAGACGGCTCAGAGGTTAAGAGCACCGACTTCTCTTCCAGAGGTCCTGAGTTCAATTCCCAGCAACCACATGGTGGCTCACAACCATCCATTATGAGATCTGGTGCCCTCTTCTGGTGTGCAGATATACATGGAAGCAGAATGTTGCATACATAATAAATAAATAAAATCTTTAAAAAAAAAAACTAATGTTAAAAAAAAAAAAAACTAAGACGTGAAGCCCGGCAGTAGTGGTGCACACCAGAGGCAGGTGGATCACTGTGAGTTCCAGGCCAGCCTGGTCTACAGAGCTAGTAGCTCTAGGACATCTAGGGTTGTTACACAGAGAAACCCTGTTTCAAAAAACAAACAAACAAAAAAAAACAAAGAAAACACCCTGAAAACCTAAGAAATGAGTGTGTCAGAAATGAGTGTGTCAGTGGTGTGCACGCCTTTAACTCCAGCAGTTGGGAGCCAGTGGCAGATGGATCTCTGAGTTTGAGGCCAGCCTGGTCTACAGAGTGAGTTCCAGGACAGCCAGGACTACACAGAGAAACCCTGTCTCGAAAAAAAACAAAACAAAACCAAACTGAAACAAAAACCTAACAAAAAAAGTCTTAGGCCAGTCTGGTCTCCAGAGTGACTGCCAGGATAGGCTCCATAGCTACACAGAGAAACCCTGTCTCGGGGAAAAAAAAAAAAAAAAAAAAAAAAAAAATCTAAACTTCCTTCCTAAAACATTTTCTCTCCTGGACAGTTGCAGTCAGTCCATCCATATCATTCTAGATCCCTTCTCTTCCCAAACAACACAAATGCTTTTCTATTTTAATAAAACCACTCAAGCATGCAGTAGCGGCGGTTATATTAACTATATTAACGTTTGTCATAGAGCACCACCCTTAATGGAGCTATTCTCCTTTTCCCAAGAGCCTGCTTGTGTGCCCATTCTGCATGTTGTCATAGGAACTCTGTGAAGGAAGCATTTCCATTGTGAAGACGGAAAAACCAAAGCTCACACGAGGAGTGGAAATTCGATTTCAACTAGGAATTAGTGCCTGAGTCCTTCCAATCCATGTTGCCTCATAGTTTTTATTTACTTAGAGCTAGGTAAAAATACACAACACTTGTCCTTAGCAAACTTTGGAATTTTGCTTATAGCTTACATGTCTTTCAGGCTCTGTTCCCAGTCCCCTCCTTCATAAACTCTGTTTTACATTCACTGTTCACACCAAATCACATCAAATAGTTCCTTCCTTCCTTGGTGACTAAGTACTGGGAGAGGGAAAAGCAGATGGAGGGTGGGGGTGGGGAGGGGAAGGGATGACTACACCCCACTTACTCTCCCTGGGTCTGCTTCATTTCCTTACACAGCCCCGCCCAACCCCTGAGCTGTCTGCTGTTGGACCCCAAGTGTAGGCTTGGGAATGCAGTTTATCCATTTTAACAATGGTGTGTATGTGAAACAGAGAGAAGAGTGGGCACAGTCTATACTTAAGATCATGGGACACGCCACAGTGGCCTTAGCCAAAGACTCAAAAAGGCTACCAAAGATGAAAGAAACCTATACCTGAGATCTAAAAAAGGTATAACTACAGTCATCTGGATGGATTTGTGCTCATTTACATAGAACAGAGTATTAAATATGTGTCAGATTTATTAACAGTCAACAAGACTACCCAATCTTATCATATAAAAGGACATTCTGTTATTTTATAAGACAGTCAGGAGCAGGAGGGCAAGACTCATGTACACAAGAACACTGAGTATGGATCGAAGTCTGCAGACACTGACCCCTGTTGACCAGCAGCAGACCTCAGGACCTGGGGAACTCCACTTTGGAGGACTCTCAGTTCTCTGTGCTGCAAACTGGCAATGTGCTTTCTCCCAGGGAGGCCTGCTGGGGAGATCACAGTTCTTTCCCACAAGCCTTTAGTGTTTTTGTAAGTTTCGAAATGGAATTGAGGCACATGAAAACCATCCACAGTCAAGGCTCAGTGGTAAATATTTTCAGAGTTCCCTTGTGAGGTCTCACTCTCCATGCAACAAAACCCAAGACCCTACCTACCCTGCTCCAGAATGATGGCGGTCCCTCCAACTCAGTGAGCATTCACTACAGGCAGAGCCTCATGGGTGATTTATTGAAGATTAATTTTCTTTTTTAATAGATTTTTAAATTTAATGTGCATTGGTATTTTGCCTGTATATACTCTGAGAGTGTAAGTTTCCCTGGAACTGGAGTTACAGATGGTTATGAGTTGCCATGTGGATGCTGGGAATTGAACCTGGGTCCTCTGGAAGAACAGACAGTGCTCTTAACTGCTGAGCCATCTTTCCAGCCCTTTAAATTATTTTTCTTAACCACTGCACAAGAGGCATATATACTGCTATTGCTCTCGTTTTATAGAGGGCACAGTTGAGAGTTAGAGATTAGGAATGGACCGTGAACCAGCTAGTGAGAGCCAGGCACTGTGCCAGGTGCGGCATATATACAGCTATTGCTCTCGTTTTATAGAGGGCACAGTTGAGAGTTAGAGAGTAGGAATGGACCGTGAACCAGCTAGTGAGAGCCAGGCACTGTGCCAGGTGTCATGGATCTGGAGGTAAATGACACCGATGGGTTCTCAGCTCAGGTGACAGTGTCCATTCTCATCAGCCAAATGCCAGAGAAATCAGTGAAGTGCTATAGGAAAGGCTCACTGCACGCTGGCCAGTGCACAAAGAAAGAACTCCTGAAGGCTCAGGAGACAGCGTAGTAAAAGACAGTTTGCATACCTGCCATCCCTCACGGATCTTCTGATTGAAGATCCCATATTCATAGCGGATGCCATATCCATAGGCTGCAAGTCCCAGGGTTGCCATGGAGTCCAGGAAGCAGGCTGAATTTGACCACGGGAACAAATAGACAGAATCAGCAAGCTTAGCATCAATGCTAAACCTTTCTTTTAAGAACATGGAGGCCATACAACAGTCTTCTATCAGGAAACATTTTCATTTAAGCAGAGATATCACTGCATGGAATTTACTGGGGTTTTAAATAACCTTTTCTAATTATAAAATTAATACCATAGAGAAGTTAGAAAGTGTAAAAATGTCTAAAGAAAATAGATAGCACACCCTTCCTCCCCATCCTGAATAACCATTGTGGTAGCATTGAGAACAAATATGAAAACTACCTACATTGGGTGGATTGACTGTTGTCACCCATAGTTGTTATAAGGGAAACTGTCTCTATGACGGCCTGCTGAACTGTATCCCCAAAAAACAGAAACTTAAGTGAGACCTGTTCTGTCATAGCACCCAGCTGACTGATGGAATTCCATTGCTCTTGGGACACTAGTGACTGTATGCTCCAGGAAGTGGATTTTATGGATCAGGAAGTGGACCCTGCCTCTCTTATCTAAGCCTTTTAACCATTTGTAGTAATTCTGCTTCCTTCATCTGTTACAGCCAGTACCCTTGGCAGCAACAGCATCCAATTCACCCAGAATACTAGGAATTCTGCTGAGGGTAGAGGGCTTCAGCGCAAGATTTTCCTTGCTGTTTTTGTCATTTGCATTGTGAGAGGAGGCACTGGGTGGGGGAGAACTATATAGACCCAGAGTCCTGGTATAACATAGCTTCTGAATAAGTCAGCCCTAAGGTCTGGGGCTCTTGTTCTGTGATTGCCATGCCATTGTTGATGTAATGATTTTCTTACTAGATTTTCTGTTACCTAGTGACAGAGCATCTGAGCTAGAAGAGCCAATCAGCAGGCAGAGAAGGGATCTATCTAGTCCTTGGATACAATCCAAAGGGTTGCAATAACCTGACTGTTCCTCTTGGGAATCTGAGCTGTCATGGAATGAGGAAACCTACAGTAGGAATTCAAACTGGAAAACTGTAACTCAAACTATAAGGTTATGTGTTGTGTTCATAGCTTAACTCTAAGACAGAGCCATAATCACAAAGCACTATGCCTAGAGTAAGCCTAACATGACCAATCCCTGCTTTGTCTGACCTGTGGCTGGCATTCCTTAGGTCCTGATGAGTTCATCCTTAGAGCCTGAGGATGGAGCCCTGACTTTCACAGTCAGGAAAGAGACTAGGGCATTTGAGAATGACTCAGCCTCACTTGCTGCTTTATTCTCTGGCCTTCCCAAACAGCAGAGGCGCAAGACCTTTAATAGCAGGTCCAGAGCAGAGCGAACAGTGCTAGCCAGTATCGAAGTGAGTGAGTTTCACATAAAAGCAAAGCAGACCAATTCCTGTTCTAGATAGGCTTTCTGCTGGTGCTGTTAGCCTCCGTATGGCCCAGGGAATCCTGGGAACTCCTCAGATGAGCAACTTCATGGGATGATGGCAAACAGCCTACCTGAAATACTTTTCTGTATTTTACTACTAGTGGCCACACTAATGCAAACTGTCGGTAATACTGAAAGTTTTCAATAAAATGAGACAGATGCAAATGACTTTGGAGTAATGTGGGAGGGGATGCAAAATTAACAGACTTTAATGAAATATGATAGCATCCCCTTTGACTGCCTTCTTCAAGCCCACGCTCCTCTCTGGCACATTTAACATTTAAACTCAACTCAGTATTTGAATTCAAACTCTCCCCTATGTCTCTATAAACATAACTCAAAAGATTTAGCTTTTTAATAATATAAGTGGCACCACTCTGTATGGGTTTTAATGGAACTTGCTTTGCTTTGAGCATGGCGATTCACTCAGGCAAGTTCATCAACCAGGCACACAGGTCTATATGGACAGGCTACTTTTAATGCAGTTTTAGAAGCAGCAGGTAACAGCGCTTTCCTGCTGTTTCACCTGTCCTTTTCTGCACATGCTGCGTTTGGTATCTGCTTTGGAGACACTCTCCTGAAGAGTAGAAATGCTTGGTTATAGGGTGTGATGTTTAACATCAGGTCAACCAGGATCTAGACTAGCTCAAGAGAGGAATCTATGGGTATGTATGTCTGAATGTGGCAGGGGGAGGCCTGGGGGGGGGGGGGGGGGGGGCCCCCTTCAACCAGGAGAAAGCTGGCCAGCATGAACATTTACTTCCCTCTGCTTCCTGAGGCAGATGCATATGACCAGCTGCCTTAGGCACCTGTTACCATGACTTCCCCACTGTGCCTTGGAACTCTGAGCAAAACTCAACCCTCCCTTCCTTAAACTGCTGGGTATTTTGTCTCAGCAAGTGGAGATAGTATTATATTTTAACTCTTTTCCTCTCTCTTGGCTGAAAATCCATTGCTCAAGCAAAGAACTCTGTATGCATACGAAAAGAGGTATATCAATGGCATCACTACTGCCTGCCAGCCAATGAAAACAGCAAACTGTAGCCTGCACGGTTAGACTTAGAATTTATGGGAACTGATCAGCCGTGTAAACAAACAGCAGTGAAGTAAACGGGTGACTTTGGAAACCCTAAATGAACAGGAAGGATCTGGTTAGCTCTGGGGTTTAAGCAATGTTTGCAAAGACTTTTAAGCAACACCCCCTTCAAGTTCTCTCCTCTTTGTGGAGTTGGTCAGCCCACAGTGGAAAGTCAAGAACAAATTCTATAGAGGGACCATGTTGCCTCCTCCTTCTAAGAAGTCAGTTGGCTCTCCTAAGCATGGCTGTGCATGGCACCTGAGAAGGATGGATCACCTAGACAATATAGCCCGTTCCCACTGTCACTCACCAGCAAGCCTCCCAAGACCACCATTGCCAAGCCCAGCGTCTTCTTCAATTTCTTCTAACTCCTCCATGTCCAATCCAAGCTGAGAAAGAAAAGAGAACAATATTGGACAAAAAAAAAAAAGAGAACAATATTGGACGTGAATACACACTCAGGCCATGGACAAGAGTCACTGCCCAAAGCACTGGCCAGGCATCAGAGTGATCTGTGTTTGATCTGGTGTCTGTTTGCTCAAGGCATGTTCTGGCTCTGCATAGTAACTGCAGAAGCTGGCAACTGCTGGTGCCAGCGGTTCAGGATGGAACAGCTAGACATGGAGAAGAATGAATCCTAGATGTCCACTGTGGACCATGTCACTTCCTTGATATTGGCCCTTAGGCAAGTTGCTAAATCTCCCTTGTAAAATGTGGAGGATGAAAGCAGTTACTTAATTTAGGGCTGTGAGTCAAATGGTATTGCATAAACAAAGCAATAGCTTTAGTCTTGGGTAGATATGTCATATGTTAGCTATTATTACTTTGAAAAAATAAGAGGTCAGTGAGATGGCTCAGTGGGGACAGCCATTTGTCTCCACTTGGGAACAATTGCTAGCTAGCTCCCTTCTCCACAGTGCTAGGGACCATACTCCTGAAGACACTAGCACTGGGTTCCATCAGGGTCTTGCAGCTGTAGATCACTTAAGAGGAAACCTATGTTCTCATAAACCTAGTGGCCTGTTTCCTGTGGACTAGATGATAATCTTACCCAGCCTGACTAAAGGGTAGTTTGCTGTGAAACAGCTGTGTCCTTATCTGAAAGTCACATACCTCACCCCAATTAGATAGTTAAAAAACAAAAACAAAAACAAAAACAAAACTCTCCTCTCCTCCCCTCATGTGCTTGTGTAGGACGGATGACAACCTTCAAGTCAGTTCTAGTCTTCCACCATGTGGATCCCGGGGCCTGAAGTCAGGTCATCAGGCTTGGCTGCAGGCACCTTTACCTTGGATAGCTTTTCATGGGAAATTAACTTCAATATTGAAAACATATGCGTAAGAAGGAACTGCCTAAAGCGATGCCACATTTTCTCTGAGCCACCTTTTAGGACCCCTGCCCTTCTGCCCCATTACTTCCTTATGTAAGTGTTGATAATTAGATCTCACAGGCACTGAAACATGACTCTGCATCTCTTCACGGGGAAGGCTTTTGAATTTGCTCCCTGGTGGCTGGGGATTCTTTATGCAGCCAATGGTCCATGCTAACTAGCACTCAGGATCCTGAAAAGCTGCAAAGTGGAAAATCGAGAAGAAGCTCTAAACCTTGAGCACACAGATGCAGGTCATGCATATACACTACTCCAAGGAAGGGATGCAATTGTTTTGCTAGGATTAGGGGAAGTGAAGAAAGGGAAGTGAAGGAGAGCTGAAGTGGTTCTTTGGCAGGAAGTGCTCTACCTAACCAACATGAACGATTTTGGACTTGAGTGATAAGTAGCAGACCACACTAGGGGCTATCCCAGCCCAGGGAAAAGGAGCATTCTAACCCATGTGTCCTTTAGATTTGTCTTTGTAAATACACACTCCTCCTTTCGGTCACATCAGAAAGGTGAAGAACTACTTGCTTTTGGTGGAGAGACACCTGTAGGAAGGGCGGGGTTTTTGCCACATATAAGCAAGTCAGGACTGCCTTAAGAGGAAGTGTGTTTCCCATCTTGTTAGGCAAGAGAGAAACAGGACAGTGGATTTTCAAAAACTTACCATTTTTAATGTCTGATACATGAATAACTGTCAAATTCTGAATATCTCTTAAAAATTAGACAGAAGACTAGCGTAAGGTTTGTAATCCTCACTTTTAAAAGGTTCATCTTTAAAATGTGATTTGTTTCAGAAAAACTACCTAAGACTTTGATTCCAAAATAAAACCCTCATGTCTAACATCGAATTCTCTAACTTCTTCTTCCCTCCATCCTGTAGACCAGGCTGGCCTTGAACTCAGAGATCCATCTACTCCTGCCTCTGTTCTCCAGCTTGTGCTTATTTCTCATTGTTTGTAATAGCCCTACCCGAAGAAGCAACTTGTCATGTGAGCATGCATGGTGTGTGTGTGTGTGTGTGTGTGTGTGTGTGTGTTAAAGTGAACTTGAAATGTAGAGAAAGAAGATATGAGAAACATGAGAACAACATACCTGGTAAATGGCCTCATCACAGGCATTTTGTAAGCCAAGGTTGATCATGGTGTTCTGTAATGTTCGGCCCATGTAAAACTCCAGAGAGAGGTAATAAACCCTCTGAAATAAAGAGAGGAAAAGGCATCATTCTTCTATGAGGTCAACCATGCTTGTCAGTACACATAAAAATGAAAATTCATGTAAGGGGCCACCAATAGAAAACCATCCGGTCTTGGGCTACTTTAACTCATGATCAAGTGAAGCTCCTGAAGTCACCTAACAGGATGCATGACAGTGTCCCCCACTGCCAGCACGAGGACACCATGCTATACACTCACTATTTTTGGCAAACTAGCTTATTATATTTTATCCTCAGGAAGAAAGAAAAGAAAGCACATCTAACTAATCAGATTCAATGTTGTTTTTTTTTTCCTGTTCATGAACTTCATGAATAAAACATGTTGTAGACAAACAAGTTGAACCGTCTTCCATCATCACCTTTCACTCCAAGGGTCAGGTGGGTTGGTCATATAAGAAACACAGAGACTAGCTCCCACACATTCTGTGCCTAGAGAATATGCCTCCTTCACTGACCTTTGGAATGGAGACTACCCCAGAAAGTCTACATAGCAGTTCTTCTAGCAAGGAAACTCCGCAAGGCTTATGAGCATTTGTTTTTGATCAGATGGTAAATTTCCCTATGGACTTAGAAACTATTTGCCTTTGGCATGGGAAAAGCCAGGTAAATTTGAGCAGTCAGAAGTGAGAGGTACAAAGTTCAGGCCTGCCCCAAACCGTTTTAAATGCAAGCACAGTTTGCTAATTTAAAGCTATGGATGATGGAGTGACTGCAGGGCTCTCTTTCAGGTCACGTTGTCCTCTGCATCAGTTACCCTGTTCTCCAAAGGTCACAAAACAAAACAGGAAGACTCTGTTCAAGTCACTTCAAAGTTTAGGTACTCCTCATTTCCACAGGATAATAAGAACCAAAATAAAAGTGTTTGGGCAACCCAATAAGTTAATAAAGATGATGATGATGATAGTTATGGAGTTCATGTAACAAATCACTGTTACATCAACTTCGAAAGTTCACTCTTTCTCACTTTCATTTTATGGAACAATTAAATTCTGAACCTTCACAAACACTGTCGGCGTTGTGCTCTGGATATCTAATAATGGTGTCCAGAGCACAGTATCTTTGTCCAGCTTCTTTGGATGTTTCTGGGTCCTTGCCAGCCTATCAAATAGATGCCTATGCACACGCTAGTGAAAGGCATCTTTCTGGAGCACACTTAGGCCCCAAGGAGTCAGAGCCCTACTCTTACCTGAGGCTGGGGGTTCTGTGCTTGAGGCCACAGGAAACGGCAGATCAAGTCATAGATGCCATTATATCATTCCAGCCTTCCTAAGAGTATTTTCATTCTCTCTCTGATGGAACAAAGCCCAATTTCCTGTTTCAGTGGTCCATACAAATCTCCTTTGTACAAACATCCCTACCCCAGCCTTGCAGTTGTGAAGTCACACTCCTGGAATTACTACTGCATTTGGGCTGAGTGTCTTGACCTCCTTGTAAGGCCAAAGAGCACTGACTTAAAAACCATTAGCATAAATAACATTTTAAGCATATTTAAAATATTTCTGGTTATCTTGCTCGAAGTATCCTAATAGAAGATGACAGACTTTTTAGGGGCATGGACTATAGATTTTCTACTTTTCTTTTTTCTTTCTTTCTTTTCTTTTCCTTTATTTTATTTTGAGATAAGGTTTTACTGTGTAACAGTCAGGGCAGACCCGGAACTCACTCTGTAGCCCAGGTTGTCCTAAACTCACAGAGATCGGCCTGCCTGTGTCTCCCAAGTGCTGGAATTAAATTTGTAAGCCATCACCACCCAGCTACATTTCCCATTTTTCTAACAAGTGGTATGTTTTGAGGGGAAAATATACTTTTTTATTTGAGAATATGTAAGACCTTGAAAAAAA